AGGAAAGAAAGAAAGAAAGAAAGAAAGAAAGAAAGAAAGAAAGAAAGAAAGAAAGAAAGAAAGAAAGAAAGAAAGAAAGAAAGAAAGAAAAGAAATGATAGTGTTCATAGGTATTAGAGAGAAATCTCCAAATCTACACCCTTCAGATTGGGTTAGCTTCATAATTCCTACCCTGGAGTTTAAGGTAATCATTAATTCTTTTTGCTTGCTTGTTTGTATTTTTGAGACAGAGTCTCTCTGTCTAGCCCTGGCTGTCCTGGAACTTGCTCTATAGACCTCGAACTCAGAGAGATCCATCTGCCTCTGCCTCCTGAGTGCTAGGACTAAAGGGGTGCCAATAATCACGTTAATGAACATTTGGAATAGACCCTTCTGTTAGCTGTGTAATCTGTTTTCTTCCTCTGGACCGACCGACCTACATTCTTCCTCCTTCCCTCCCTTGCCCCCCACCTCTCTTATAGCTACATGAGAGGATCTCATGTAGCTTAGACTGACCTCAGACTCTGCTGTAGCTGAGGATGGTTTTGAACTTCTGAACCTCCTGTCTGTAGCTGGAGTCTTCTCTCCAGTCCCGCCAAACCCCGGCAGTCCGACAGCCCACTTATAAAACACACAGACACTTATAATTTACAAACTGTATGGCGTGGCAGGCTTCTTGCTAACTCTTCTTATATCTTAAATTAACCCATTTCTATTAATCTGTAAGTTGCCACATGGCTCGTGGCTTACCGGTACCTTACATCTTGCTTGTCATGGCGGCGGCTGGCAGCGTCTCCCTGACTCACTCAGCCTTCCACTTCCCAGAATTCTCTTCTCTGCTTGTCCCGCCTATACTTCCTGCCTGGCTACTGGCCAATCAGCATTTTATTTATACAGAGCGATATCCACAGTACCTGTCTCTAAAGGTTAGGATTGCAGGTGTGTGGGGCCGCACCCAGCTTTTGTGGTCCTGGAGATCAAATCCAGGGTTGTGTGCCTATGGGGCAAGGACTCTTCCAGTTAGGCCACATTCCTAGGCCTTGAGTTTTTTTTCTCATTTGTTTTATTTTATTTTGTTTTTGAGACAGGGTCTCTGTGTAGCCTTAGCTAGCCTGGATATCACTATGTAGATCAGGTTGGACTCTAACTCACAGAGATCCACCTGCCTGTACCTCATGAGTGTAGGATTAAAGGCATTCATCCACACCTGTCCAGGGCTAGGTTTTTAATAAAAAACAAAACAAAACAACTTTTCATACAAAAAAAGACAAAGCTGGGCATGGCAGATCACACCTTCAGTCCCAGCGCTGGGGGAGATGAGGGCAGATCACACCTTCAGTCCCAGTGCTGGGGAGATGAGGGCGAGGGGCAGTGATGGGACAGAGGCAGACAGATCTCTGAGTTCCAGGCCAGCCTGGTCTACAGAACGAGTTCCAAGAGACCCACAGCTACACAGAAACACCGTATCTCACATTTAAAAAGAAAGGAAGGAAGGAAGGAAGGAAGGAAGGAAGGAAGGAAGGAAGGAAGGAAGGAAGGAAGGAAGGAAGGAAGGAAAACACTTTTCATTCCTCTTTTGTTCATTTTGTGTTTTGCAATTCGTCAGTCCCCATTCTCTTGTGACGTCGACTCTGAGTGTGGCGTGCCGTAACCTGGCTGACTGTGTTTGCTCCCCAGGTCCACTTCTTCAACAGCTTTTTTCATCGACAGCTGGTAACCAAAGGCTATAACGGAGTTAAGAGATGGACTAAAAAGGTATTTGGTTTCCTTTTATACTGAATTTGAAATGGATGAGCTACTCTTGGTTGGAGGATCAGAGCTTTAATAACATTATGGTGTCTGTTAGAACCTTCATGTGACTGCTGAATATCTTTTATCTTAATGTTTGGTGAATAAGACACTCTGGGTTAGAATGTGCTGTAAGGAAGGAGGACCAGTCTGGGAGTTCATGATTACAGCAATACTCTTAGCCTGCTGGACAACTTGGACAGGACATTTAACTTGTCTAATTAGATTGCTGAGTGTTAGAATAAAATGCTAAAATATCTAAAGCGCCTTCAGTGACTCTATCAGAACCTTTTTTTTTTTTTTTTTTTTTTTTTTTGTGGTGGTGAACTAGGGATTGAACCCAGGGCCTTTCGTAAGTTAGGCAGGTGCTTTGTCACTGAGCTCCAGCTCTAGCCTTGGTTTATGTAGTTCGGGCTGGTCTCTGACTTGCAGTCTTCCTGGTCCAGACTCCCAAGTGTTGGTTACTGGTGTTCTTCATGAGGCCTGAGTGGAAACACTTTTGACAGAGTTACCAATACATTCAAACTCAAACAATAAATATTGAAAATAATTTTGGGTTTTGTTTGTTTTTTACAGAAGGGCTCAGACTCATGTAGCTCAAGCTGCTCTGACACTCGATATGTAGCCAGAGTTGGCCTGATGGTCTTGCCTCAAACTCCTGAGTACTAGGTAGATGTGGGCCACCGTGCCCGGCATACTTTTCACTTTTAAGCTGATTGGGAGAACTCAGGAAGTGAGGGTGAGTCCTTGCTGGACTCTGTAGCCTGTGTGGAGGTAGAAAGACCAGAAGGTTGAGGCTGGTCTGGGCTGTGTGAACCTCTCTCTGTGTTTGTTGTCATTTTAAAAAGAAGCCAGGCAAGGTGACACATGCCTTTAATTCTAGTACTTAAGAGGTAGAGGCAAGTGGATTTTTGTGAGTTAGGACCAGCCAGCACTATGCAGTGAGATCCTATCTCAAACCAACCAAACAAAACCAAGAATAACTCGATGGAAATAAGATTCATTTCTTCATTTAGACATCCCAAGCTTGCCTGAAATTCCCTGCATAGCTGGGAATGACCTTGAATTCCTGATCCTTCTGCCTCTACCTCAGACTGCTGGGATTCCCAGTGTGAGCACCACATCTGCCTTATGTAGTGCTGGGGATCGAATCCAGGGCTTTGTGGATTTGAGGCAAACACTTTACCAAGGGAGCCATGTCCCCAGACCTGGAAATAATTTATATCAAGTACAGTGTCTGAAGTATACAAATCTAAGAGAGAGAGAATTCATATGCCAGTTTGGTGACTTAACTAGCCGTGACTTGAGCACACTTGCTTAATTATCCTGAAAGTCATTCTTCTCTGTAGATCAAGAGGTTTATAAGGTATTTATTCTGTTGGGAGAATAAATGAGATTATATTTAGCAAACCACTAAACACATTATAAAATACACAGTAAGATGCTGATTGTCATGATGTACATGGAAACTCACCAAGTGCTCATTTCAGTTTTTTGATGATCCAATCACTAGGTCTTTATTCTAAAGAAATCTGGAAAAAGATTTGTAGAAAGATGCTTATGAGATTGCTAATTTTAGTAAAATTAAATTTTTAAATAAACTGGTACTTCAGGTTCATGGAATTTTAGTTTTTTTACGGTTTTTAGTCACTATTTCTTTTTTTTTTTTTTTAAAGATTTATTTATTTATTATGTATACAGTGTTCTGTCTGCATGTATCCCTGCAGGCCAGAAGAGGGCACCAGATCTCATTACAGATGGTTTTTGAGCCACCATGTGGTTGCTGGGAATTGAACTTAGAACCTTCAGAAGAGTAGCCAGTGCTCTTAACCGCTGAGCCATCTCTCCAGCCCCCACTATTTCTTATAGTACATATATACATATATATTTTTGTTTGGTTGGTTGGTTTTGTTTTTTTGAGATGGCGTTACCTGTGTAGCCCTAACTGTCCTGGAACTCACTCTGTAAATCAGGCTGGCTTCGAACTCAGAGATCTGCCTGCCTCTGCCTCCTGAGTGCTGGGATTAAAGGTGTTTGCTACTGCCACCACTGGGCAATAAATATATTTTAAAATGATAAAAATTTTAACAAAGCCAGAAGTTAAAGACATGCTATTAAATCTTTTTTTTTTTTTTGTTTTGTTTTGGGTTTTGGAGACAGGGTTTCTCTGTGTCATTTTGGTGCCTGTCCTGGATCTCGATCTGTAGACCAGGCTGGCCTCGAACTCACAGAGATTCACCTATGTCATTAATTCTTAAAGGTTTTTAATTTTAATTTAATTTAATTATTATTTTTGGTGGAACTGGAGAGATGGCTCAGTGGTTTGGTTCCCATCATCCACATGATAGCCTACAACCATCTGTAGCTCCTGTTCCTGGGGATCTGGTGCCTCTCTTGCCTCTGTGGGCACCGGGCATAGATGCAAAACACTTACATTATGCAGGCAAAACACTCACCACACAAAATAAAATAAACAAATCTGTAAAAACAAAGGTGCCCCAGAAGCAGAGTTAGGGGTGGTCAGGAGCCACCGTGTGGGTGCTGTGGAAAAGCAGTGAGCGCTCCTAATCACTGAACTGTCGCACCGCGTCTCCAGCCTCCGTACCCTGCCTTCTTTCACAGTTGGAAGGCAACAGTTTTATTTCTGGAATTTGAAAACCAAAGGCTAAATCACACCTCACTTGTATCTCCTTCCTCAGCCACATGCTGCAGCTCTGTTCGCCTTCTTGAAACACTCGGCTTTGTCCCAGAGACGTCTCACTTCCTGTGAGAAGTGTGTCTGTATACACAGACACACAAACGGCTCATTCTCTCCTTTACTGTCTTCTATCTTCTCCCTCAAACTAGGATCTCTGTGTGTAGCTTAGGCTGCTCTTGAACTCGTCATTCTCTTGGCTTGGCCTCCCAGTGCTGGGATGCCAGGTGCCATCACTGGCCACCTCCCCTGGCTCCTGTTACCCTTCACTTATGTTCCTTCCCAGTCTATTTCACTGCCTGGCTTGTAGAATGCATTTATTGTCCTTCTCTCTCTTGCGGTGAACTTTTCATGGCAGGCTTTGTTTTAGGTAGTGATGTCAGAGCAGTGAATGCCATGAAGGTAGGCACTGGTAAGAACTGAAAACACACCCTAGGTAACTGGGTATGGTGGCATGGGTCTACCTGCAATCCTAACATGCAGGAGACCCAAAGCAAGACCTCCGTGCTCATTGTACTAGTAGTGTTTTTCTGGCTCTTACCACTGGAATTCAACTTTCAGTCGTTCAACACTGAGTGAGTCCCGCTACCTTGGTTTTTGTGTGTGTGCATGTCTGTAGAGGCCTGAGACAGAATGGGGTATTGTTCTTCCAGGGGCCATCTGCCTTGCTTTCCGGTTGCTTTGTTTGTCGTTCTTGAGGCAGGCTGTTTATGTTGCCTTGGATGGCCTGGAACTCGGTATGTAGAGATCCACCTGCCTCTGTCTACCTCCTGGTTCTGGGTTTAAAGGCATGCTCCTGGCTCCCCTTGTATTTTGAGACAGGGCCTCTTACTGGCCGGATCTTGTCAAGTAGGCTGAGCTGTTTGAGCAGTGTGTTTTAAGGATGTAACTCTGTCAGTCTCTCCAGCTGGGACTTGAAATGTGTCTTACACACCCAGCTTTTTCCATGTGGCCTGGAGAGCAATCTCTGAACAAGCACTTGTCTCCTGCACTCCCCAGCTGAGGGGTGCTGAACACTCTTCTAGGAGTAGGTGAGGAAAATAAAGCCCTTGCTCTGTCTCATGGCGCTTACAGATCAACCAGGAAACAAAGCCAATGAGAGTGGGTAATGTAGTGTGATTGCCTGCGGAGACAGTGAACAGACGCAAGGGGAGTGGTACTTTGGCTTTTGTTTTTTGAGACGTTTCTCTGTGTAGCCCTGGCTGTCCTGGAACTACCTCTGTAGACCAGGCTGACCTCGAACTCTGCCTGTCTCTGCCTCCCCAGTGCTAGGATTAAAGACATGTTCCACCATGCCTGGCTTTTTTTTTTTCACATTTTAAAATTTGTATTTTTGTGTGTGGATAATTCATGTCACAGGACATGTGTTTTTGTTGTTGGGTTTTTTCTTTTTCTTTTTTTTTGGAGACATATAATGCTTGGCTCCCCAAACACTACCATCATTAGAGTCATTATGTAGGCATGATTGCTTAGAGACCATTGGTCATGTTCATAGGAAATATTTGCAAAATAAACATTACTTTGTTAAATGAAAAGATATTATTCTATTCTGTGAATTCTCCAATTAGGGTAACTAAAAATATTCCAGCCATATGCTAAATGCTAAGAAATTAACAAAATAATATGAAAATGAATGTTTGAAAAATAAATGACACTTAACTGATGTTCTGGGCAAAACAAACCAAACTGAAGTAGCAGGGAGGCCGGTGTGGTGATACGTGCCTTTAATCCCCACTGCCCAGCACTCAGACGGAGGCGTGCGGATGGATCCCTGAGAACTGGAGGATAGCCTTGTCTACATAGTACCTTCTGACCCTCTCAGACACCTACACTCACATGCTAATACACACACATATGCTTGTACATAACACACTCAGATACACACTAATAAAAACAAATCTTTTTAAAAAAATACATTGCTAGTGGGAGATGTCTCTCATGAGTAAACCTCGTAGAAAATAAGTTCGCAAAACTTAATACATTCAGTAGACTTGCATAGGTATATTATTAATAGATCATTATATCCCTTAAAAAGAGAATATGTGGGCCAGTGAGATCGCTCATGAGATCGCTCATGGGAAAGGTGATTACCTCCAAGCCTGACAACCTGAGTTCAGTACCTGGAACCCACATTGTAGGAGAGAACTCAGTCTAGAAATGGTCATCTGACCACACATGACCTGTGACTTGCATTGTATACACACACACACACACACACACACACACACACACACACACACACACACACACACGTAAATTTTAAAATGTAAAAGCCCAGCATGGTAGAGCATGTCTTTATTTTTTAATTTATTTTGTTTGTTAAAAAGACTTTATTTATCATATGTACAGTATTCTCCATACAGGAATGCCTACATGCCAGAAGGGGGCACCAGTTCTCATTATGGATGATTGTGAGCCATCATGTGGTCGCTGGGTATTGAACTCAAAAACTCTGGAAAAACAGGCAGCGCTCTTAACCCCTGAGCCATCTCTCCAGCCCCTATCAGTCAGCGCTGTTAACCTCTAAGGCATCTCTCCAGCCCTAGAGCACATCTTTAATCCCAGCACTGGGGAGACAGAGGCAGGCAGATCTCTGTGAATTCGAGGCCAGCCTGGTCTACAGAGCAAGTTCCAGGACAGGCTCCAAAGCTACAGAGAAACCCTGTCTCAAAAAAACAAAACAAAACAAAAACAAATAAAAAAAAAATAACCAGGCGGATCTCTGTGAGTTCGAGGCCAGCCTGGTCTACAGAGTGAGTTCCAGGAAAGGCGCAAAGCTACACAGAGAAACCCTGTCTCGAAAAACCAAAAACAAAAAACAAAACAAAACAAAACAAAACAAAACAAAAATCCCCTAAGATTCTCCTGGTGGAGCCATAGATTCTCCTGGTGGAGCCATAGGGTCACACCTGTAATCCAAACTAAGCAGGTAGAAGCAGGAGGGTTATAAAGGAGTTCATGGTCGTCATCATCTGTACAGTGAGTTCTTCCCAAACACATGAAGAGAAAAAAATGAATGGCCTTAAATCTTATTATTATCTAGTAGTCACCAAATTCAATTTCAGAAAGACATGTAAGTCAACCAGGATTTGAACAGGTGGGAAAGAAGACACAATAAAGTAGTAACAAAATGTGGAAGGAGCTTTTGAGTTTAAAGTGGTGTTTGTGTGTGTGTGTTCCACTGTGCTTGTTGGGGTACACACAGGTGCCTGCACACTACAGCACACACGGGGAGGGCAGGGGACACCTCTACGGACTAGGGTCTCTTCTCCCACCTTTCGGGTCAGAACTGGTCATCAGGCCCAGCAAGCACCCCAGACGTTTACTTTACCATAGGAGTTCGCAGTGACACAGGCGGGCCCCACGTGTGTGCAGCCCCACTCCAGGCACGTGACACTGCGTCCATTTAGATAGGGTCTCTTGGAGCCCACTCTCCTGGAACTCTCCTGTAGCAGAGGGTGACTTTGGACAACTCTTGCTATCACCTCCCAGAATCTGGGATTACATGATGTGCTGATGTCCAGCTCACTCACTTTTTATAGGTATTTATGGAGTACCTACTACTTCGTTATCCTTTGGAATTTTTCATTACACCAATTTCTTGATTATGTGTGAGTGTGTGGGTAGTCAGAGGACAGCTTGTGGAGTCAGTTCTCTTTCTACAGTGTTGGTTCTGGATGAACTCGGATCATCAGCTTGGTGGCAGGTGCCTCTACCTGCAGAACCATCTCACTCTCCATCCATTGGAAGTCTGAGCAGAAGAGCAACCTTTCCAGATTATAAAAGGCAGGTTTTAGAATATAAAGGGCATGTTAGGAGCTTTTCGTTTGCTTGTTTTTCAAGACAGTTTCTCTGTGTAGCCCTGGCTGTCCTGGAACTCGCTCTGTAGACCAGGCTGTCCTGAAACTCAAAAGAAATCCGCCTGCCTCTGCTTCCCAAGTGCTAGGATTAAAGGCATGCGCCACCTCTGCCTGACTATGTTAGGATTTAAGGATTTATTTGAACTAAAAGGTGTATAGTATTATCAAGAATATTTTCTCCCTTTTAACATCAGAGACAAGACTGCAGGGTTCATGTGTGCTGAAGTACATTTGTATGTGTATTCATGTTCTTCTCGTATTCTTTAGAACTGCATAAAGTAGGTACTGTTGTTTCCTACATGTTACACTCTAGGAAATCAGGGTATAAAGGGCATATAAAACAGATAGAGCCAAAGGAGAAGAATCAGTATTTGAATTTAAGCAGATTTGCTTGAGGTTGCATGATCTTTACTTTTTAATTTTACTTTTTAAAACTTTGTTGCTTTTTAGTACTATTTAATACTATCCCTAGTATATGCTAGGATCCCTAGCCCTGTTTTAAAACAAAAGCCAGAACCCACATAAAGGTGGAAGAAGAGAACCAACCCCACAAAGTTGTCCTCTGACACACATACACATTACGCATGTACATTCACACATTAATAATCAATAAGCTAAGTCATATCAGACAAATGACAAAAGTGGCTTTTGTAGATTAAGTGAAAGAGAACATTTTTATATTTGTCTTACTTTTGAGTATTTTCACTTAGTGATTACAGACATGGGCTTCAGATGAGGCAGGTTCAAGTTCTGCCTTACCACTTCTTAGCAGGGCAGAGGTCGGTCGATGAGTGCTGTTGTTGGTCCTGTGGTGATAGCTCCTTTTCTTCCTCCTAATCAGGTGGATTTGTTTAAAAAGAGCCTTCTGTTGATTCCTATCCACCTGGAAGTCCACTGGTCTCTCATCACTGTGACACTCTCCAATCGAATTATTTCATTTTATGATTCCCAAGGCATTCATTTTAAATTTTGTGTAGAGGTAAGTTAATATTCTGTCTATTTTATTTTTCATCTGTGATTGACCAAGATAGAGCACAGCTCTAGCAGAGCAGTAGACATCAGAGCTGCTTCAGGGTGGTAAGAGGCCATAGGTCAGGGCAGGGCCACTGAGCTGTCAGATCTGGGGCCTCCTTTGGAGATTGAGCATTTTTTAAAAATTAATTAATTTATTTATTAATTTAGTTTTTTGACAGGGTTTTTCTGTGTAGCTCTGGCTGTCCTGGATCTCACTCTGTTAACCAGGCTGGCTTAGAACTCAGAGATCTGCTTGCCTCTGCCTCCTGAGTGCTGGGATTAAAGGTGTGTGCCACCATCACCCAGCTGGATTCACCTTTTTTTAAAATTTATGTGCATTAGTGTTTTGCCTGCATGAAGATGTCAGGTTCTTTGGAACTTGAGTTACAGACAGCTGTGAGCTGCCATGTGGGTGCTGAGAATTGAACCTGGGTTCCCTGGAAGAGCAGTCATTGCTCTTAACCACAGAGCCATCTCTCCAGCCCTGGGATTTAGCATTTTTAAGGAAACACAGAAAAATTCATTTTTTCCTGCATTTCCTTAAAAACAAAATGCATTGAGTGTGGATAGAAACTATTTTTTCTTCTTTCTTTTAGAGCTAAGATTGTCTTAGATCTTCAAAATAACTGTTATTCTGGAACAAACTATTAGAGTTCAGGTAAAGACATGATCTTGCATAGCCCAGGCTGGTCTCAGAGCTGGTCAGATGACCTTGAACTCTTGCTGGGTTTGTGTCTACTTCCCAAATGGGAATTGTAGTGGTGTGACATCATACCCTGTGGAGTTCATCTAATGTCAATAAGAGTGCAACAAGATGGGGAGTCAGAAAAATCAGCTTTCCTGGGTTTTCTGCATAATGAAGAACCAGTTAGAAAAGTATGCCTGATGCTGGGTGGTGGTGGCACACAACTTTAATCCCAACACTTGGGAGGCAGAGGCAGGTAGATCTCTTAAGTTCAAGGCCAGCTAGACTACACAGAGAAACCCTGTCTTGGAAAACCAAAAAGAAGCAGGTTCTATTACTAAAGTACTGGAGCCCATCATTTGGGGTTTTCTGCACTGAGGAATGTACAAAGCCTCTAGGGTGAAGAATTTAAAGCTTATTGTTTGGAGGAAATCTGAGTAGCTCGAGAAACAAGCAGCCTCAGTATTGAAAAGAGATCCATTTTTACCAGACTAACTTCTAGTAATTTTCATCTCATCAATTCCCCAAGATTTTGTTTTGTTTTGTTCAGAAAAGGACTGCTGTGTGGCCCATGCTGGCACCAAACATAAGATCACCCTGCCCTCAGCCTCCCAAGTCCTGGGATTATAAGTATACAATACCATGCTTGGTGTTGAGATGAGGTCGAATATAGCCCAGGCTGGCCTTCAGCTTGCTACGTGCCAAGGATATCTTTGAACGCTTGGTTCTGCCCTTACCACCCAAGTGCTGAGATGTTCGGGGTGTGTCACCACATCTGGCTTATATGGTGCTGAATTGAATCCAGAGCTCTAGGCATGCTAGGCAAGCACTTCACTGAGCTACATCCCCAGCCCATTAACAGAACTTTGAAAGGCCCGATGAGCTTCTAAAATTCATGTGCATGAGCTGGAACCGGAACAGTGAAGGAGACTCATCTGGTAGATGTGAGAGCATGTTACCAAATTTTTAAAATTAAAATGTTACTTAATTGGCTTAGGGATTTAGATTGTTTGGAACATCCACCATCAATAAAAGTGTGTCTGTGTATAGAATTAATATGTAGTAAAATTGAGAAAAGACCAATTTTTCAGTTATGGCCCTGGAAAAACTAGTTGCTATTTGGAAAAGTTACAGAGGCTTGCATTGTACTGTTTATAAGAACAGATAGAACGTGCACAAGCTGGGCATGGTGGGCCATGCCTTTAACCCCAGCATTCAGGAGACAGATACAAATGGATTTGCTAAGTTCCAGTTCAGGGCTACACAGTGAGACCCTAACTCAAAAGAAAAAAAGCATGAAATCTTGGGTAAAATATAGAAAATGTTTTATTCATTCAGGGAGCAGGGATGGCCTTCTTACACAAAAGAAGAAGAAAACACCAAGAAACCGCTTGATAAATTTAACTGTATCACAAAATCTGTGTCTATGTCAGATTTGGAGTTATAGGTCAGTGGTAGAGTACAGGCTCACCATACACATAGCCCCCGGTTCATAAAGTTAACAGACAAGTGGCAGACCTGGAGAAATGTTTGTGATACAAACTGAATCTCCACAAATGAGTAAGGGTTAAGAAAAGGCCTGAGAAAGAGGTAAGAGAGGGGCTGGAGAGATGGCTCAGGGGTTAAGAGCACTGGCTGCTCTTCCAGAGGACCCGGGTTCAATTTCCGGCACCCACATGACAGCTCACTACTGTTTATAACTCCAGTTCCAGGGGACCCGACACCCTCACACAGACAGACATGCGGCCAAAACAATAATGCACATTTAAAAAAAAGAAGAAAGAAATAGACGAGAGCTGGAACGTTCATTTCACTTTCATTATTAATGATTTCAGCATGTTTTTCTTCTGTCTTTAGATGTAAGACAAGGTTTGAGATGTAGCAAGTTGACCCTCATAAAATGCGCTAATACAGTGTCCACGTCTTGAGTGCCTACTTCAGTACAGGCTGAGTGGAAACTTGAATACAGGTGTCACGCAGCTGGAGACTGTAGCCTCCACCTTGGTTTCTGTCTGGTGGTGGGCAGTTTCCACGTTTTCACCAACTAATGGAACACAAGATGTGTGTTGTGGTTTCTTTTTCACCAGAATATAAGGAAGTATTTGCTGACTGAAGCCAGAGAAAAAAACAGACCTGAATTTCTGCAGGGTTGGCAGACTGCTGTTACAAAGGTAAGAGTGTGATAAAAATGAAACCCCAGCATGTGCATGGGGGGCAGTGACCCAAATGGGGGTGCCTGCTGAGAGATCTGAAGCCTGGGGATGAAGAGCCTCCGGGAGATTACGGTGACTCAGAATAAAGCTTATTTAGTACTTAATCATCGTGAGGCTCCGTTTCCCAGTCCTTGCTGGGAGCAGGTAGCATAAATCATGTCATCTATATTTCCGTGTGATACATCAAGACTCGAACATACGCTAACATGACTGTTGGGGCCCACAAAGGGACCAGGATGGGTACTTTCCACCAATGTAGTTAAGACCCAGTGTGTCTGGCCCGGAGACAGTACAGCAGCTCTCCGTGGAGCAGAAGTGCCGGGGCAAATGGAACCCCAGTTTTTTCCTTGTGATGATCTCATGTGATCCTTCCAGCCCGTGTGGTGGGCAGTTCTTTAGGGCTAGGAAGCCTCTTCATTTTATAGACAAGAAAACTGGATACGGAACTGTTGTTAGAGGTAGGTCCTTGAACTCAGGTCTGTCTAGGTTATTGGCCCAGTTTTAGAGGCAGGGTCTTGACAAATGTTGAACCCAAGCTCAAAAGATGAAGATTAGTTCATCTTTGAACTGAGCCAAATACTAAACTTTAAAACTGAGCCATAGTTTTATGTTTCTAATAATTTACATACTAGTTCACATGAGAAATGAACTTGTAGAGTTTTATTTTTGAAAAACTGTCTGATTCACGCATCCTGCTCGGCTGGGTATACTACATCCCTCCAGAGTCTTTCATATTCCTGTCTTAGATACAGTAACCAATTCTTTTGGAAACACAGTCTTTGCCTTTATGATTTACTTCAAAGAATAAAACAGACAATTGTATAATCTGAGGTGAAAAGTTAAGACAACAGAACTTTATTAGGTAATTTTTTTCCATTGCTGTGACAACATACTTGTCAGATAAGGGAGAAAAGTCTTCATGTGGCTCACAGTCTGAGAGTACAGTCTTCTCGGCGGTGGGGGGGATGCTGGCAGCAGAGGTCACATTGTGTCTGTAGCCGGCAGCAGAGGTCACATTGTATCTGTAGCCGGCAGCAGAGGTCACATGGTGTCTCTACCCAGAGGTATGGAAGTCGGTGTCCCAGCATGTCCCAGATCCCCATTGAATTGAGAGCACAGCTAATTAGCTAGGTCTTTAAAATGATTTTAAAATTTGGTTTTCTCATTTCCCACATTTAAATTGTGGTGGCCACTCGAAAGATCTTTTCATGTGGCCATAGGCCTCCCTTATAAAGGTATTTGGATAGTGGAGACATAGACCAGCTATCTGGGAGAGAGCGAGTTTTTCCATCTCTTGTTCATTTACCCATGGAAACAGTTTTCTTATGTGAAGAGATACTTGATTTATGTTAATGACCATCTTTTTTTTTCTCTTCAGTGTATTCCACAACAGAAAAATGACAGTGACTGTGGAGTCTTTGTGCTCCAGGTAAATACTATTGTTTACTGTGTGTGAATTGGTTGTTTTGTTCTGAGAGAATGGTAGTCCTTTGTATCCAGTATTAGGGAAGGCATCCCTTTCCCTTTGTTGTGGCTGTATTTGCATTAGGAAGAGCTCCCCCTGCCCCCCAAGGCCCTTAGTAAGCAGCGTCAGAGAAGTACATGTGTTTATGGGAAAATATATGACCTCAGCTTTACAAGACCTTGGGGGGTAACCCCACTGTACACCTCACACCTTATAGGGAAACTCAAGTTTGCACTTTGTTTCCCTGGGAGGTCCGAGTGCAGACCCGGCACACTGCACTCGGACAGAGAGGAAGGATGCCCAGCTGTCCACGGGCCTGGAGAGCTGACTCTCATCTGATTCTCAGGTTGAGCACAGCCGCCTAACCCTTTAAACCCGGCACTCGGCGGCAGAGCTCTGTGAGGCCAGCCCGGTCTACAGAGTTCCAGGACAGCCTGGGCTGTTACACAGAAAAACCATCTTGAAAAACAACAACATGATTTTCCAAGAACCAAAAACATGACTCTGCAGCCTTCGACTGTTAGGGGTGTGGGTGTGTGGGTGTGTGGGTGTGTGGGTGTGTGTCTGTCTGTCTGTCTGTCTTTCTGTCTGTCGACAAGGCAGTGGCGGGGAGCACAGGCGCACATGCCACCCGGTGTCTCTGGGACAGAGTGCATTTTTTTTTTTTTTCAGTACTGCAAGTGCCTCGCCTTAGAGCAGCCTTTCCAGTTTTCCCAAGAAGACATGCCTCGAGTGCGGAAGAGAATCTATAAAGAGCTGTGTGAGTGCCGGCTCCTGGACTGAGGCTCAGCAGGGACTCCGCAAGGCTGGCCGTGTTGGAGCAGAGAGCTTGTTACTTGAATCTCCAGACACTTACTGAACTTTTCCAGATCTTTCGGATTGGTGGTATCGGGCCACTGTTGTTACCTCAAGTTTATTTTTGCCCTCCTTCATTTCTCCTGCTATCATGTACTTTTTTAATGTTCAGTTTAGTTTCATTTTAACTTTATGGATTCCATACATCCCTCCCATATTTAATATTTATTATCCAAACGCATGCGTATAGACAGAGCATGCAGTAAAGAGTATTAAAAAAAAAGCCTAGTAGATTTGGTGCAGCTTTTGAAACATAGTTAGATGTGAACTGAATACAGGTTTAAAATTTAACCCCAGAACTTAAAACTGCAGGATGTTTTTGATGCAGTGTAGCTCAGAATAGATGTTCCCTGTGGCATAAAGGGGAGCTCGGAGTGGTTGTGAAAAAGCCAGTCACGTTTTACTTATCCCAGCAGCACTTTGCCTGATGTCCCTCAGACGAGTCTCTGAGCATGAGATGCATTCCTTTCGAGGGCGAGAGGGGCTGGTCTGCTTAGGGACGCAGTGCTTGCAAGCGCAGTGCTGATTTGAGAAGAGTTAAGGTATGAGAGGGGAAAAAGCGTCCTTGAAGGCCAGTTAACTTAAAGGTTTCTTTCGTTTTGTTGTTTTGAGACAAGGTCTCACTATGTAGCCCAAGCTGTCCTGGAACTCACAGTAGCTAGGCTGGACTCAAACTCAAGCTAATCCTGTCTCTGTCTCCCCAGGGCTGGTAATATAGGTACATACCAATACACTCTACAATAAGATTTCCATTTTGGTCTTAAGGATTAAAATACATGGATTAAATCTCATAAAGGCTTTTCTTGGGACACTGAATTTTCTTGGATTTTTTTCCTGGGCTTGACTTGTGGAAAAAAAAAACAAAATCCTTAGCATCCATCAAACTCATAAATGAGAATTTGGCTTTTCATAGAAGTAATTTGCTAGTCCCACTTGTCTTTGTTGCCTCTCACGCACACACTCCAGGGTATTTAAGAATTACGGGAATGGCTCTGCTTGAAGGTATCTGAAATATGAGCATCACAGTAGAAGACTGGCCAAGTTCTTCTGCAGATGGTGGGAGGAGAGAGGGGTGACACGGAGGAGGTCTCTGGGGAGAGAGCACACGAGGAATGTTTTCCTCCATCTTCTCTGGTGGCCCAGCAGCTTGAGGGGTCTTTAGCTTCTGCAAGAGCAGTCTGAATCCTGTACTTAAGAACTCCCTGTTTATTTAACTCCATCCCCTGGGGACAGCTGTAGAGTAGCCTGTTCTGTGGACTAGGAAGAAAGTGGTAGACCCTGCATCTTTAATCTGGTCTTTTGTGACACGTTTTCAAGAAAAGAAGTAAGATGCAGATTAAGCCTAACCAGTCAGTTTTTTTCCGAATTGAAGGAGGGAGAGCAATAAATTTGTGCAGAAAACTACAAGTAAATGGCAGAAGGTGAGTGCCTCGTTAGGCGTGAGCTGTTTGAAAACCAGAACGGGAAATGGCTGAGCAGGGCTTGCTGCCGCAGGTGAGGGCTGGATCAAACTGCAGTTTGCTGCACGATTCCCTGCCGCAGCATGGACACTGGGCAGCGGCCCTGGCCCTCTCCTCTCTGTCATCCAGACTCCAAAGTCCTTCGCATAGAACCAGGCAGTGTTGTGCTTCAGGCTATTAAAGAGCCTGAGAGTAGAGGTCATTGTCACAGGTAAGGTGGTCACCACTTGGGAAGATGAAGTTAGATGGGGGAGGTGTCTCTTCCATTCCTGTAGTACTGGGGATCGAACCCAGGGTTGTCTGTCTGTATGCTAGGCAGGTGCTCTACCACTGAGCTACCTACCACCTTAGCCCTCTTTGAGCTTTTGTATTTTGAGACATGGTCTCATGAAGTCCTCATTGGTTTTGAATTCACCCTGTGCCTGAGCCTGGCCTTGTTTACACTCCTGACACCTGAGTAGCTAGAATTACAGGCCAGCCCTGCAGGCCAGACTGCTTGAAGATCTCTTAGGGAAGGGGCTTGGGAAACAGGGTCTCAATGTCAGGCTAGCCTCAAACTCATTACGTAGCTGAAGATGACCTCGAATTCCCAGTTCTCTCTCGGTGCTAGGATTAGAGATTTGTGTCACCGTGCCCAGCTAAAGATGTGGTCTTAAGACTTTCAGACATAATCACACCAACATGAGCATCTTCAAAATGTATACCCGAGATACAGCATGGGTTTTTGCTGCTGTGCCTATCCTGAAATAGCCAGCAATGAGGTGACATACTCGGTGTCTTGAGTGAGGAAGTATCTATCTCACTTCCCCAATAACAGACCCATCAGGAGAAGTTACAGTTGTATTCCTTTGAGAATCTTGTTGAAACAGGGTCTTTGTTTAGCCCAGGCTGGCCTTAAATTTACAGTCCTTCCGCCTCAGCCTCCCTGATGTTTGGATTACATGGGTGCACTAGCATTTTCAATCCTGGAGAATCTTAATGTCCAGAGCCTGAGTTGCCTCTTCTCCCGACTGAGAAATGGTCATGTCAGCACTGAGGCATGCAGGAACTCAGCCGTCCAGGTCCAGTTACTCTTCCCTTCTAAAGGATAGGGCACTGTCAAGTGTTCTGCTCAGCTTGCTTTGGCCTAAATGCTGGATGTTTTGAGTATGTTCTAAGTCTTTCTGTCATTAGTGAGACTTGGTTTCAGAATACATAGTTGCTCTTTCTCTTTTTGCGACTACATGTAAATTTCTGTTTAGCTTTCAAGTCCTAGGTTGTAATTTTTTTGTCTTGATGTTTGCAGGAATGCTTTCTGTCACTGGCTTGGCACCGAACTGTTGATCCCATAAAGTAGGCAGACTGTGTCACTGGGATGAATGTAAACCCTGCACAGACTTAGAGCTATTCATGTAGATAGGATGAGTCTTCAATAAGCTGCCCAGTCCTCACGGCAAACTTACCTGGCTGTAGTTGCTTCTGTCCAGTGGTCTTTCCTTTTGTTAAATTTCTAGTAATGAATATAGGTTTAATTCATCTTTTAGTTTCCGTAGGCATCATGAGAATTAACTTTCAGTTGGCTGCTCAAGGAAGAGCAGAGCAGTTGCTGCCAATAACTTCACAGTGCGGTTTGACTTTGCACTGTACTCTGTTTACTATTGAATATGAATAACATGGTCATCTTGAATTGATCGTTGGAATACGACAACAGACCTAACTGGGGACACAGCCAGTACTTGCCTAATGTGAGTTATCCCTTTTCTCTGCAGTTGTGGTAAACTGCTTCGTCCATGCATTAGAAGCAATCGGGGGTCTGAGTGGGTCAGGGTCAGAAACAGTGAATTCATACTGTGCTTTAAATACACTGATTATCTGCTCTGCTTCATTGTTAAGAGACCAGGTTAATCAACAGTTATACAGCACATGCTTCTGCTGTGTGCTAGGCTCTGCCTCCTGGCTGGTAGATATCTAAGATCTGGGGAATAGCATCTAAGAAGTGCTATTGTACTTGGGGTTACAAAAGCAGGCCTAGACAAGTTGTTCACTTGAAAGATTATGATCATGTAAAATTACAGTCAGTACTCAACCCTTCTAGCAAACTATTTTTTTGAAAAATAAACTAAATGCCTTTATAAACATGTGTTCTCTCGTGTTGAATAACATGTAATGCTTGGTGGATAGTATTTCTTGGGGTCATTCCAGTGGTAACAAGGCTCACTGGAGAACAGTGACCATCGGAAGCCCTACCTAGCTCTAGCCATGGAGCTGGGCACTGCAGCAGGAGCGCATTCCTGGATGGACGCAGCCCAGTTTATCTGATATCATAGCTACTTGCCAACATGCAGCTGCCAAGTACAGAAAATGTGCTTGGCGTGACTGAAAACCCAGGGTTCAATTCTCTCTTGGTGTGACTGAAAACTCAGGGTTCAGATTCTCTCTTGGTGTGACTGAAAACTCAGGGTTCAGATTCTCTCTCGGTGTGACTGAAAACTCAGGGTTCAGATTCTCTCTCCTTTTTTTTTTTCTTTTCATTTTTGGTTTTTCAAGATAAGGTTCCTCTGTTTAATAGCCCTGGCTGTCCTAGAACTTGCTTTGTAGACCAGGCTGGCCTCAAAGTCACAGAGACCCACCTGCCTTTGGCATGTGCTACCACTCCCCAGCTAATTTTATTCTTATTTTTTTACAGTGTGTGGTGGCGCATGCCTTTAATCCCAGCACCCAGGAGGCAGAGGCAGGAGGACCTCTGAGTTCGAGGCCAGCCTGGTCTATAGAGTGACTTGCAGGCTAGCCAGGACTAACTAGAGAGATATTGTCTCAAAACAACAAAGAATCACAACAATCATTTATTTATTTTGGTTTTTCGGAGACAAGGTTTTTGTGTAGCCTTGGCTGTCCTGGAACTCAATTTTCTAGACTCACCTACCTCTGCCTTCCACTAACCCCTAGAGCTGGGATAAAGATGTGCACCACCACGTCTGGCTAAGTCATTACAGTTTACTTATGAGTGTTCTGCCTGCACATAAGTGTACCATGGCATATGTAGTTGGTACTCATGGGGGTCATTGGATCCCATGAAACTAGAGTTACATAGAGTTGTGAGCCACCCCATCAGTGTTGGGAAGTGAACCCAGGTCTTCTGGCAGACAGCAGGTGCCACTGAGCCATTGCTTCAGCCCCCACTGTATGATTTTTAAATAGCCACCCGTGATGTTCTGCCACCATATTGGGTAGCAGAGCTCTAATCCAAGTCTCAAGTTTATACCTCAGCTTACAGTGCATAGGAAGCTATTGACACTCAGGTCTCAGGACGGCTGCTCTGCTCTTCCCTCACACACTGCAGCCTACCTGTCTCTGTGGACTGTACTTCTTTGTAGTTTTGTTGCTGTTGTTTGGGCTAGAGATGGGCTGTGCCTTTTGAGATAGGTTCTTGATGTGTAACCTCAGCTAGCCTTTTTCCCTCAGCTTCCCAAGAATTAGGATTACAGGCATGTGTCACCACACCCAGCTTAGCATACATCTCTGAGAGCTCACTTTCTTGGATTGAAATGGGATCTAGTTCAGATACTGTGTCTGCAGTAGGAAAGTGTGGTGGTTTGAAAGAAAATGGTCCCCAGAGGGATTGGCTGAGGAGGTGGCCTTGGTGGAGGAAGTGTGTCACTGTGGGCTTGGGCTTTGAGGTCTCCTGTGCCTAAGCTATACCCCGTGTGGAACACAGATTCCTGCTGCCTACGGGTCAAGATACAGAACTCTCAGCTCCTTCTCCAGCACCATGTCTGCCTGCATGCCACCATGATGATAATGAACTAAACCCCTGAAACTGTAAGCCACTCCATTAAATGTTTTCCTTTATAAGAGTTGCCGTGGTCATGGTGTCTCTGCACAGCAATAGAAACCCTACAACAGATGTAATAGAAAAAGACTGTCAAAATTAGCATCCTCAAGCCCAAGAATCATCCTCTTAATTCAGCCCCATCTCCTTCCTGTCCCATCATCTGGAGTCTACATCCTGGCCTCTCTGCCCTCCTCCATCAGAAGTTACTTGGTGCGTCTTGTCTTCACAGGGGACCCACACTTCCTCTCTTGCCCTGCCATCGTAGTTACAAATGTCAGACTGAAATGGACATACGAGTTCTGTACATTATCTCTCCCAGGGTACAGGGCATCAAAACACCCTTTTTTATAGGCAAGGAAATATACACAGAATAAGTTGGTCTAAATTTATTGAAACTTGTTACAGAAGATAAAATTCCCACTGTTTTGGGTCACAAGATTATAGAAATCTGAGTTACATTTTACTACAAAAGAATATGATAAACGGTTCAAACTGCAGTACAAAAACCTTTATTTTAAAACTCAAGTGTCTCCTCATTAAGTTTGCAAACGGGCTTCCTAAGCTGGTCCACTACAGTAGTTACAGCTCCAAGAAAACCACACTTAATTCAGCCTCAAAGATGTTCTGCCCCAACTTTGAAAAACTAGTGAGAATTAGAAGATGCTTTAGTAAAAAAGTAACAGATGAAAAGATTTCCCTTTTTTTTCTATCTTGAAAAATTACTCATATGTAGTATTAGAAAGAAAACGCAAAATCCTCTAGACTCTCTCTGTAGAGACCTCCAGCTTACTGTTAATGCACGGGCCTCAGCAAGCACAATTTGAGGGAAAAAAAGAAAACAGACTGAAGGATGTGTACCAGTTACAACAGACATTTCCTGGAGGATGCTTTCTGTTGTTAAACATTCCCAGTTTCAAACTCTTATTGTTTAGGCAGTCCTAAACCCAGAACCACTCACATAAGTATCTAACCACTGTGCCCCCCACCCACCCCTTTTCTGTTCCTATTTTGAGGCAGACTCAAAGGTGCCCCACCTGGCCTTGAACTTTTGATTCTCTTGCTTCAGCCTCCTAAGTAGCCAGGATTATAGGCCTGGCTGAAGCCCCCTTTAAAAGCCCATTCTAGTCCAAGTCATTTTGAAAATAGGAAACAATAATCCAATGGCCCAATCGCAGCTTCCATGTCCAGACAGTGTTTGAACTTTCATTCCATTCCCTGCTGACAAGTGTCTTTCCCCAACTTCTTAGGATAACAGAGACTCTCTAACAAAGTCCTTGAGGGTTTTTGTTTGTTTCTGGGTTTTCTGTTGTTGTTTCTTGTTTTGTTTTAAATTGTCAGTGAAACATTTGTATCTTTTGAGGAATGTGTTTAGTGACCATTCTTCAAGTCCTGATACTGTCCTGACAATATAAAGCACAGAAGCAGGTAGCATCATAGGGCCTTAATTAAGGCTGACTTTTGTGCCAGCCATATTGAAATATAAAAAGCAAATCCAGTTGAAAGTACCTGTTCCTAATTTAGAGCAAAGCTACAGACTATAGCAAAATCTCAGCAATACACATGCAAACCTAAAATGTAAAAAATGACATCACTCCCCATGAAGATTACCAGACTACTTGTAAAGTCAATTCTTTTTTTTGTCTTGTTTTTTGAACAGGGTTTCTCTGTGTAGCTTTTGGAGCCTGTCCTGGAACTCACTCTGTAGCCCAGGCTGGCCTTGAACTCACAGAGATCCGCCTGCCTCTGCCTCCCAAGTGCGGGGATTAAAGGCGTGCGCCACCACCGCCCGGCTATAAAGTCAGTTCTTAAAATGAAGTGTAGATTCCGGCTGACAGTTTAATCAGCACAGAATGAGTCTGTTGCCCAGGATTACAGTTTTTGACCTAGTAACAGAAAGTCAACCTAATAAGACCAGAATTAAAGGCATTCTTTTGGATTCTGTCTTTTAATATTTCAGAAGAAAACCGGAAGTGGCTTCCATGCCACAGAGATCCGACCGACCCTTGGGTCACACTCATCAACAGTCAAGAGTGAGCTGTACTGGGCTCTCTCCACTCACTGTTTTTGTGCCAGTTTGCCATAGCCGCCTCTGCCAGCATCGTAGTCTTCCCGATACTCATCTCGAACCTAATTGAAAACAAACAAACAAACAAAAACAGAGCACCATGGGCTGTTGATATAACAAACAATCATGGCAGCATAGCTAAACCCTTTCAGATGTCCACGAACGAGCAGGGCATAAAAATTAAAGTAAAACTCATTTACGTGCATTTTGCTTTTGTTCCAGACCTTGTTGCAGGAGGAAGGCCCCTAGCATGAGTTCCGTAACACTTAAAGAAATGTACAGAATATTTCAAAGTCTGAAATTTCCTAATCATTGGCCCTGGTGCACACCCATCTGTGATTTAAAGATTCAGGAGGCAGAGGCAAGAGGATCTCAAGTTTGATGCCAGTCTGGCTACATGGCCAAGATCTTGTCTCAGGAACACCCCATCAATACGAACAAGCACAAGCTCATAGAAGAGGACTTCCACACATTGACAGAGCACCTATATTACAACTGGAACCCCAGGCAGATGAGCTCAGATGCATACCTGACCCCCGGATCGTCCACGTCCATACTGCCTGCCCTCCTTAAAGCCTGCATCCCAGTCTGTGCGGATGAGCCGGTCATCCAGACGAGTCCCGTTTATGTACCGCATGGCATTCTCTGCGTCCGCTCTCGAATAGTATCTTAAGTAGAAGTATTAAGGACCACCACCAGCATTGCTTCAAACAAGAGACAGGAAGCAACACATCTAACGATGCAGAGTTGCTTAAAAAAAATTAAAAGTGAAAAGCTAGCCCAACCAGACTAATTACAGATACTCATTTTGTAGAAGCCAGTTCAACCTTGTTCCAGCAGCTCTTAGGGACACACAAAGGATAGGTAAATGACATTTGTCCGGACCTGGGTCAGTCATGATTTCCTAGGTATATCTGCTAATAATTATTTGGTCCATGTTTTGATTTGCAAATAGAAAAATATGGTCAATGTAATATTCGACCACAAACTTCTTATGCTAGAACAATGATAAAGTTGGACGTAGTGGTTCATGTCCATAATCCTAGCACTCAGGAGGCTGAAGCAGTGGGATTGCTGTGAGTGTGAGGCCAGCCTGGACTACAGACCAAGATTCTGTCTCAAAACAAAAACAATGTCAAAAGGGGGTGGGGGTGGCGGCTGGAGAGATGGCTGGAGAGATGGCTTCTGGGGACCCAGGCTTGATTCCCAGAACCTCTGTGGTGGTTTACAACCAGAACTCCAGTTCCCAGATCTGATGCCTTCTTAGGACCTCAGACGGTATCAGGTATGCACGTAGTGCACAGACATACATGCAGGCAAAGCACTAACATAGAAAGTTAAATATAATAAAAAGTTTAAGAACCACCACCAAAAAAGAAAAATCTTACTCATATACATGCATAAACATATACATGCTTATACATATATAAATTTAAAAAATCCTAATTACTGACTTAAGCAATTATAATTCACAGCTGGACTTGCTGGTTTAAATTAGTCTTTCCTTGTCTTTAGATAGGGAAATCTTTGGTGAAATTCCAGCACCTGACACCTGACACCTAGACAATGTTTAGCAAGCAGTAAGCATTTAATGACTTGTTTCATGAATGCTCGACAAAGAGCAAACCAGTGAGCAAGAGCAGGCTTCTTTTGTCCACTTATCATGAAATTGTGGTGCCCCCCCCCCCCCCCCCCTGCCTGCCTGGAGGCTTATCCCAAGAGTGGAGAGCGAAACAACATAAGATGCCTTTTTTTCCCCTTTGGAGACGGTCTGTATCTCCAGCTGTCCTGAACTCATTATAGAGACCAAGCTGACTACCTTGAGTGCCAGGATTAAAGTGATTCAAGGTGTGGGTCACCATGGCTACAACTCTTTTGGTTTTTCGAGACAGGGTTTCTCTGTGTAGCCCTGGCTGTCCTAGAACTCACTAGGTGGACCAGGCTGGCCTCAAACCCAGAGATCCACCTGCCTTTGTCTCCCAAGTGCTGGGATTAGACACTTTTTCTTAAAGATTCATCTGTGAACAAAATTTCTGAACAGAACGCACTATCAGTTTCACAGTTTACAAAATATGACTCACAGGAAGAACTGAGAGAAAACTGTAGGGATTATAGTGATGGCTAGAGTTCCAGTTAGCCAGGGCCACACAGTGAGACCCTGTCTCAAAAAAAGAAAAGAAAAAGAAAAAGGCACGTCCTCCAGCTCTTGCTTCCCTTCCTGGTTCGACAGTTATATCAGATCCCCAAGGATACTCCACAAAACAGAACCCACATGCCGTCTTCTTCATTTTATCCAGACCCATGATGATCTTCTTTATGTCACCACTTTTGCTGAAGAGTTCATAAATCTGTTCTTCAGTTGTATAAAAGGAAAGATTTCCAACATATAATGTACAGCTTTTCTTCAGTAATTTTTCTTGTTCTTCATTGTCACCCTAGAATATCAAATAGAGACGAAGTTAAACATTACAACCTAAAAAGATCTGCGTAGGGCTGGGGCTATCGAATGCTCGGCAGGTAAAGGCACTGGCTGTGCAAGCCTGACAACCGGAGTTTGATCCCTGGAACCCAAGTGAGAAGCTGGATGTGGTGGCATGCACCTGAAATCCCAGAACTCCTACAGCAGATTCTCCTTGAAGCTTGAGGCCAGCCTTGCCTGGAGTACACAGACAGAGCAGAGCCAAGAGTGAATCCTCACAGAGGTGAAAGGTGAGAAACCATTCCTCAAGTTTCCTATGCCCTCTGCAAGTATTACACATACATAAAATGAACAGACTTGAGCCTTGCTGAAAGTCCTATTCCTAAGGATAATAAAGAAGCCCATTCTGATTTGGAAATTAAAGCCTCTCACCACCCTGATTCCTAGCATACTCTTCCTTGCCATGAGAGGTGGTTTTGGGGGGTCGGGGGTTGGGGTGGATACAGAGATGACTATCCCAGAGGACACTGCTCAATTCCCATTGCCCACATGGCAGCATATGACTGTCTATTTCCAGTCCTAGAGGATTCAACGCCCTCTTCTGGCTTCTGGGGTTGGTCACCAGGCATGCAGATGGTGCACAAATGTACATTCAGGCAAATGCTCATGTACATAAATAAAATATATTTTAAAGTGCGGATTGGTTTTGGGTGGCGCTGGAGATTGAACACAAGATGTGACATATTAGGAAAGAACTCTACCAGCCTGGAAGTATTCCCGTTCTAAAACAGCCTGCTTTAGTGGAGAAACAGAGCATGTAACTCCACCTACACCACACTGCCCTAGGAGTGGCATGGAAAGAGAACTCTTTTTCTTCTTCTTCTTCTTCTTCTTCTTCTTCTTCTTCTTCTTCTTCTTCTTCTTCTTCTTCTTCTTCTTCTTCTTCTTCTTTTTTTTTTTTTTTGGTTTTTCAAGACTCTGTATCCTGGCTGTCCTGGAACTCACTCTTTAGACCAGGCTGGCCTCGAACTCACAGAGATCCGCCTGCCTCTGCCTCCCGAGTGCTGGGATTAAAGGTGTATGCCACCACTGCCTAGCAAGACTCACTTTCTTTAAAAGACAGGATGAAGCCAGAAAGCTAGGAATGGGAGTTAAGTGGGCTTCAGCTAACACACAACAGTCTCCAGGGATACAGTGGTTCACTGTGGCCCAGAGCCGGTATTTGGTCACTGTGGTGATGGGGAGCAAACTCAGGTTGGCCTGCTGAACAACAAGCCCAGGCCCAGGTTTGTTTCTCTGTTCTCTAGGACCTTACATTGTAGCCTAGACTACTCCTGAACTTCCAACACCCTGCTTCAGCTCTGAATGCTGTGATCACACACACCAGCTACCACACTCAACTAGCAGGGTATTTTAGGTGTCATCCCTGTGCTTTCTAGCATTCCCGCTGGAAAGGACACAGATATACAGATGTGGTCAACAGGCCCACCAACTGACCAGACATTTTTAGCCTAGTGTGAGGGCCCAGACATTAGCCATATGATGGAATCCAGCTGGAGAGCAGCTGAGAAGACTCATGTTCAGAGCATTCACTCAAGAACACTCCATTTTCCAGTTAGCAGTCCTTAGAAAATGTTGATCCAGTTCCCTTTATTCTGAGAATATGAGTGCATTAATCACTTCTGAATTCTTTGTAGCACAGAGCTCAGGCTAGCAGTATTTATTATGTATACAGTGTTCTGCCTGCATGTTTACCTGCAGGCCAGAAGAGGGCACCAGATCTCATTACAGATGGCTGTGAGCCACCATGTCATTGCTGGGAATTGAACTTGGGAAGTGGAAGAGCAACCAGTGCTCCTAACCTCCAGCCCAGAATAGTAGGTTTTATGTGAGCAAATTTAGTGGTATATTGGAGAAACATGGAAACACTGAGAGGAAACTAAAGAGTCTGGCTTACTTCACCATAGCTTGTTCTAGTTGGGGTTTCAGTCTTCCAGGACTAGGAACTGCTAGAGTTTTATTTGGTTGGTTTTTTGTTTTTAAAGATTTTTATTTAATGTGTTTTGCCCATACACACACATGAACATGTACCACCTGCATGTAGTACTCATGGAGGCCAGGAGAGGGAGTTGGAACTACAGTCGGAGATGGTTGTCAGCCACTGTAGGACTGCTGGGAACCAAACCCTGGCCCTCTGCAAGAGCAGCAAGTGCTCTTAACCTCTGAGCCACCCCAAGTTGGAGTGCAAAGTGAAAGAAGAGACAGAGTAAGAAGGGTCAATTTAAATGTATGTCTGTATGTTTGTGTGGGGGAACATCCATGTGAATGCAGTGCTTTGGAGGCTAGAATAGGGTGTTGGATCCTCTGGAGCTGGAGTTACCAGCAGTTCTAACCCATGTGGTGTGCATACTGGGAACCAAACCTGGCTCATTTGCAAGAGTAGTGTGTGCTCTTAACCACTGACCCATCTCTCCAGCTCCTAGTTTTGTTTACTTTTTAAGTTACTCCCTCGGCCGGGGGGGGG